TACACTTAAACAAAGCTACGGTAATAACTCAATGTGGTGTTGGCATAAAGACAGACATACAGACCAATGGGATAGAATTGAGAGTCCAGAAATAAACTCATACATCTGTGGTCAATTAATTTTCAACAGGGGTGCCAAGGCTAGTCAATGGGAGAAAAAATATTCTCTTCAACATATGGTCTGAGGCAACTAGATAGCCATGTGCAAAAGAACAAGGTTAGATCCCTACATCATACCATATGCAAAAATTAATTCAAATGGATCAACCTAAATATAACCTACCTATAAAACTTTTATAAGATACCATAAGGTTAAATCTTCACAAACCCTGAATTTGGCAACGAATTCTTGGATACAATACCAAAAGCACACATAACTGAAGAAAAATTAGGTAAATTGCAATTCGTCATAATTTAATACTTTCATGCATTCAATGTTATCAAAATAATGAAAAGATAACCTATATAATGGTAGAAAGTACTTGCAAAGCAACATCTTTAAAACATCCAGCACCCAGAATAAATTAAAAAAGTCAACAGACAACAAAACAACCCAATTTAAAAAAAAAAAGCAGTGGCCTTAAATAGAAATTTCTTCCAAGAAGATCTACAAATGGCCAATAAGCATATAAAAAGATGCTCAACATAACTAATCATTAGGGAAGTGCAAATCAAAAGTACCATGAGATATCATTTCACACCCACAGCATGGCTATAATTTAAAATTTTAAAACTCATACACACACACCCATACACACACGAAACAGAAAGTGTTAATTAGCTAGGACATGGAGAAGCCAGAAAACTTGTCCGTTCCAGGTGGGAACATGAAGTGGTACAGCCTCTGTGGAAAACAGTTTGGCAGTTCCTCAAAAAGTCAAACATAAAATTATCCATATAAGCCAGATATAAACCCAAAAGAACTGAAAACAGGTATTCAAACAACTACTTCTACATGAATGTTCATAGCAGTACTATTCACAAAAATCAAAAGGTAGGGCAGCCCCGGTGGCCCAGTGGTTTAGCATGGCCTTCAGCCCTGGGGTATGATCCTGGGGTCCCAAGATCAAGTCCCACGTCGGGCTCCCTGTATGGAGCCTGCTTCTCCCTCTATCTGTGTCTCTACCTCTCTCTTTCTCTCTCTCTGTCATGAATAAATAAATAAAATCTTTAAAAACAAACAAACAAAAAGCAAAAGGTAGAAACAACTCAAATGCCTGTCAACAGATGACTGGATAAGCAAAATGTGGTGTATCCATACATTGGAACAGTTACTCACCTGTAAAAAGGAAGAAAATGTCAATACTGCTACAACATGGATGAGCCCTGACAACATTAGCTAAATGAAAGAAGCCAGACATGAAAGGTCACCTGTTGCCCTATGATTCTATTTCTTTGAAGTGGCCTGAATAGGTAAATCCAAGAGACAGAGTGAATTGTGTTAGCCATAGGCCAGGGGAGGGTGTCAGCGTAGGGAGAACAGGAAATGACTGTTGAATGGTTACAGTCTCCCCTTGGGGAAATGAAAATGTTCTAGAACTAGCTAGAGGTAGTCATTCACACAGCACTGTGAGTGTATAAAATGCCACTGAATTGTACACTTTAAAATGGTTCACACGTTGTGTGAATTTCAGCTCAATTTTTTAAAAAAATAAGAAAAAGATGTCAGGCTAGGGGTTAGCATCACCTTGAAGGGGGCTCAGTGCCTGGAAAGAGCACAAGGACAGCTTCTGGGGGGCTGGGTTCTGGTTGCACTTGTATGTGACCTTGTGAAAATTCAGCCACCGGTGTCTTGACATGTGCTGTGACCTCCACGCATTTCCTAAAAGTAACAGGAAGTTTTGTTTGTACTCTTTAAGGAGAGAAATTCTTACTGCATTTAAGATGGTGACACCAACTTTTATCTGGTGATAGGGCCAAGGAGAGGTTGGTGCAAGCAAGGTGAATCATGCAAGTGCAGGGGCAGATCTTGCCTTTGTTTCAAAGACTGATATTTTGTTCATCATGGCATTTTGCACTTGTTTTGTTTTTTGAAATACTGCCATTAAAATAGTATTTATCTCAGTTCCTGAGTTCTTTGGCATCCTCCTAGGTGTTGCACCCCTGATGAGTGCCTTACTCACCTCACCCTAGTTTCCCCCATCCCACCCACCCCACCCCTCGCCCTAACTTTCATCCCAGCACCATTGGTAACCAAGGGAGATATAGTCTGAATCACAAGGGAGACCTGCCTTCATCTGTCTCTCACTGGCTCCAACCCAGAACACTCAGACACACAAATAGTGGGGTGCTTCCTTTGAGAGTAACTGGCTTCCTGAAGTGCCTTTCTCTGCCTCAGATGACACAGACAAGACCCCTGCCCTTCTCCCTGACACTCCACCATGCCTCCTGACCCTTCAGCTTCTGGGCCCCTGAGAAAGAAGGACTTATGGCCCCATACTGCCTGCCAAGAAGCTGAATAAAAGGTAGTAGCCAGAGTCCATTATGGGGAAATCTCAGGAGGACCCTAATAAGTAAGCATACCCCATCCCCATAATTGTGAGCCATATTCACTTCTGGAAGGGTTGCTTTGTCCTTTGTTTTCTGAGTGGGCAAAGGTGAGCCCATGTGTCTTGAATGTGCATTTCAGGAGATGAGACAAAGGACACAGCATTACTCTTTCCAGTCTCTTTCTTTCTCTACTGCTCCCAGGGATTCACTTATGAAATGAGACATTCCCATCATGAGAAAAATGTTAAGACTATGTCGCTTTCCCTTGGATGTAAAAGGAACTTTTTATTTTTTTAAAGATTTATTTATTTATTTATTCATAGAGATGCAGGGAGAGAGAGAGAGAGAGAGAGAGAGAGAGAGAGAGAGAGAGAGGCAGAGACACAGGCAGAGGGAGAGCAGGCTCCATGCAGAGAGCCCGACGCGGGACTTGATCCTGGGTCTCCAGGATCACGCCCTGGGCTGCAGGCGGCGCTAAACCGCTGCGCCACCGGGGCTGCCCTAAAAGGAACTTTTTAAATAAATAGATATTTATGAAGCAGTATATTTTTTTAAATGCAGCAAAGTAGAGATTTCCCCAAAGAACTTAGTAATTTTTAACATTTAATAATTTAGTATATCCTATCTAGTTAATAAAGGCACACTGTATAAGAAGAAAACAAAGTTTAAAAAAAATATTACAACAGGAAACCCATAAAATTTATATCTATATCTCTATGAACATATGAGTGGTACACATACTTTATCTTAAAATGGGACCAAATTCTGGAACAACACAGTCCAACAGACATTCCTTGCAATGATGGAAATGTTTTATATTTTCATGGTCCAGTATGGTAGCCATGAGCCACAACTTGCTATCAAGAACTTGAAATGCAGCTAGCCTAAGTGAGGAACTGAATTTCTACTTCTACTTAATTTTAATTGGTTTAAATCTAAATTTACTCAAATAGCTACATGCTACTCTACTGTATTAAACAGCACAGATCTGTATTGCATTTTGAAAACATTTAATTCACTCAACATTGATTGGCAAGGTCTTTCCAATTCAGTAAATGTGCTTCTCAAACACTAGTACCTATATACATAACACAAATAGGTTAAAAAGTATGATGTAAAACTAGACTGCAGTGACAGCAGCACCAAAATATACAACAAATTCTAAAGACCGTACATGACCCACATTTAAAAACTTAGAATATCTCACTAAGGTATTTTCCAAAAAGATGAAGACTAGAAACAGTGGCCTAAAGCATTGAACCCAGGAAGCCAGAAAAACAAAATAAAGTGTAAGTACTAATAATTAGGAAACTGACCAGAGATAATTTAGGTGGGGCATGAGGCTAGCTCTCTTTTATTTATTTATTTATTTTTTAAGATTTTATTTATTTATTCATGAGAGAGAGAGACAGAGACACAGGCAGAGGGAAAAGCAGGCTCCATGCAGGGAGCCCGACATGGGACTCGATCCTGGGTCTCCAGGATCATGCCCTGAGCCAAAGGCAGACGCTCAACCCCTGAGCCACCCAGGCATCCCTAGCTCTCTTTTATTTATTTATTTTTAATAAATTAATTTTTATTGGTGTTCAATTTACCAACATACAGAATAACACCCAGTGCTCATCCCGTCAAGTGTCCCCCTCAGTGCCCGTCACCCATTCACCCCCACCCCCCGCCCTCCTCCCCCTCCACCACCCCTAGTTCATTTCCCAGAGTTAGGAGTCTTTATGTTCTGTCTCCCTTTCTGATATTTCCCACACATTTCTTCTCCCTTCCCTTATATTCCCTTTCACTATTATTCATATTCCCCAAATGAATGAGAACATACACTGTCTGTCTTTCTCCAATTGACTTACTTCACTCGCTAGCTCTCTTTTAAATAGGAAAATCAGGAAGACATTTCTAGGGAGGCCAACATCTTCAGATGAAAGTGAATGAAGCATGTGAGGATACAGGTTTTATCAGTTGTTGACATTTGGGGTCAGATAATTCCTTGTTGCAGAGATGCTCCTATACATTGCAGGATGTTTAGCAGCATCCCCGGCCTCTCTATCCACCAGATACCAGTACCTCTTCCCCTGCCCCAGTTGTGACAACTGAAAGTGTCTCTAGATGTGGCCAAATGTCTCTAGAGAGAGAGAAGGGGAGAAGAAGCAGAGGGAATAGCCCCAGGAGAGACCCACTTGTCTAGACAACGAGTAAATTCAAGGGCCCTGAGGTGGGACAAGTGGAAATGCCCCAGAACCAAAAGAGAGACTGTCAAATGTGATGCTGGTGAGAAAGATGACACTAGGTAAGACAGAGACATGGACTCTGTGTGGAATCCCTTATAGGAATTTGGATTTTATTCTAAGAGAAAGAAGCAAACACGGAGCCACTGAAGGGTTTTAAAGAGGTGCAAGACATGACTTGTTCCACATTTTAAAAGAATATTGATTTGGAGGATGTTCTGCAAGGGATACAAGGGATCATTTAGTTGAAAGAATAGTGTTGAACAGCTCAGCCTCTTACCAGTTGATGAGCTTCTCTGCGCTTCAGTATCCTCTTTTATAAAATGGAGATAATAGTACACATATCCTGTCAAAAACACAAGAAATAACAAGAGTTGGTAGGGACATGGAGAAAAAGGAACCCTCGTGCTCTCATCCAGATGGGTAGGAAGGCAAATTGGTGCAGCCATTGTGGAAAACAGTATGGAGCTTCCTCAAAAAATTAAAAATAGATCTACCCTATGATCCAGTAATTCAACAATTGGGTATTAACAAAGAAAAGGAAAATACTAATTCAAAAAGATATATGTACTCCTATGTTTATTGCAACATAATTTACAATACTCAAGATATGGAAGCAACTCTGGGAATTCCTGGTGGCTCAGTGGTTTAGCACCTGCCTTCGGCCCAGGGTGTGATCCTGGAGTCCCAGGATCAAGTCCCACATCAGGCTCCCTATATGGAGCCTGCTTCTCCCTCTTCCTGTGTCTCTGCCTCTCTCTCTCTCTCTCTCTCTCTCTCTCTGTGTGTGTCTCATGAATAAATTTTTAAAATCTTAAAAAAAAGATATGGAAGCAACTCAAGTGTCCATCTATAGATAAATAGATAAAGAGGTGGTATATATACAGAACAGAATATTACTCAGCCATAAAAAAGAATGAAATCTTGCCATTTCCAACAACATAGATGGACTGGGTATAATGTTGAATGATGTAAGTGAGAAAGACAAATAGCATTTGATTTCCAAATGTGGAATTTAAGAAACAAAACAAACAAATGAATTAAAAAAGACACAATTGAAAAAAGACTCTTAAATATAGAGAACAAACTGGTGGTCACCAGAAGGGAGGTGGATGGGGAATGGGTGAAATAGATAAAGGGGATTAACAGCACACTTATCTTGATGAGCATTGAGAAATGTAAAGAATTGTTGAATCATTACATTGTACACCTACAATTAATGTAACACTGTATGTTAATTAATTGGAATGAAATAAATAGGTAAATAAATCTTTTAAAAGCAAGTAAAATATTAATAGTAGTTGTAGTACACATACCCTGAGGTTGATTTTTAGTATTAAAATGAACTAGGGTTTATAATACACTGAATGGTGCCTGGCACATAGCAAGTACTTTATAAGCCATTTACTCTTATCATGACTGTATTCATCCAGGTGAAAGGTGATGTAAGCTTTGAGTGATGGCAGTGAAATTATTTCTGTGGAAGGGCTGCAGCTATAGTAAAGTTAAAAGGCTTACTAAAGATACAAAAGCTTGGAGAGAAATGGGCAAAAAAAGGGGACATGGGACATGGGACATGGATGGGCCAGATGAGTGGGCTGGGGGGGAAATGAAGTAACTGTGGGTAACTTCAGGGTTTTGGGCTCAGGCAATTGTGAAGATGGAGTTCACCTTTATGCAGTGGACAAGACATAGTGAAGACATTCATATGGACACACTCACAGTTAATCAAGGGGTGCCTGGTGGCACAGTCAGTTAAGCATCTGACTCTTGGTTTCATCTCAGGTCATGATCTCAGGGTCTTGAGATCAAGCCCCATATCAGGCTCCATGCTCAGTGCAGAGCCTACTTGGGTTTCTCTCTTCTTCACCCTCTGCCCCTCTCCTGCTCTCTAAAATAAATAAATAAATCTTTAAAAAAAAATAGTTGATCCATGGGTCAGAGCCCAGGGAAGAGTCTGGACTGATGACGTAAGCCTGTACATCATTTGCAAAGGGAGAAAACATGCAATAATTTAATCTGAATTAACCATTTAGTAATAATATTTAAACTATTGCTTGTAATAGTACAGTTTGTGGCTCACCTAATAGCCACCAATATGATGGTTAAATATACTGTAATACGATCATAAATGGAATATCATAGAGCTGATAAAAATAAGTCAACTTTATATATCCTGATGCAGAAAAATCCACAAAAGACATTGTTCAGTTAAAAAAAATGTAAGGCATACAACAAAACGTATCACAAATTACATTTCTGTGTGTTCCATACCTCCCCACCAAGAACAGATTTGTTAATATCATTATATTCATGGCTAACTGTAGTGATGGCCAGAGGACACAAGTTAGTGAAGATTTAGTTTTTACTTCATGTTGTTTAGTATCGCTGTATTTAAAAACACACATGCAGGGGATCCTTGGGTGGCTCAGTGGTTTGGCACCTGCCTTTGGCCCAGGGCGTGATCCTGGAGTCCTGGAATCGAGTCCCAAATCAGGCTCCCAGCATGGAGCCTGCTTCTCTCTCTCTGCCTCTCTTTCTCTCTCTGATATACATAAATAAAATCTCTAAAACAAACAAACAAACAAACAAAAAAAAACAAAAAAACCCACACACGTATTACAAAATAGTATCACTGTATTTAAAAAACATATGCAATAGCATCCCTGTATTTTAAAAAACATTACAAAAAATTTAAAGTATATACATTAAAAAACAAACAAACAAGCATGGCTTGAGAAAAGAATTGCTCTGGTAGCAATGGAGTGTAAGAGACTGGAGGCAGGATCCAGCTAGCAGGCTACTGCAATAGTTCAAGCAAGAGAAGATGAGTATTAGGGCTAGCACTGTGTAGGTCAGGATGAAGAGAAAGAGCTGGCTCCCAGGAGCATCTTGCAGGTTAGAATTCTAGTTTGGATGAGTGACTGGATACGCGGATGAAAGCAGGAAAGGATGATGCCTAGGATTTGGGCTGAGAACGATTTCGCGCTTGGAATCACCCCCATCCCCAGGTCCACCCATTCTTCCAGTAGCTCCTGGAAGGCTGAATGGATGACATCTGCCTGAGTCTCAGCCAGATAAGCAGATATACATGCTTTCCTACACACCGCACTTTGGAAAAAAAAGAATCCCATCAACATTCTCTGCCTTTCCTTCCTGCCAATGAGCAGCAGAAATGTCTCCAACATAAAGAAAATGTTTCCGTTTTTTTCCTTTTCCCATCTAAGTGTTGAATTTCTCTTCACTTTGGAGTAGCCTGACCCAGAGTAGCTACAGGCCGCTGTATTTACATGCAGCTCTATTGGCTGAAGCCAGCTGGCAAAGAGTGTTGGGTAATTGTCAGCCTCTTCAGATGAAGTTAGGGAGATTATGAACTTATAAATCGGGAGACAGGAGTTTGCTTACAAAGCAGCTTTGCCCAAGAAGATGGGTCTTGACTTTGGAAAGTTGAGATAGAGGTAGCTTCAGACAGCTGTGGGATCTCTGCCTCTCCCTTTTTTCTTTTCCAAAAGCCAATAAAATAAAATTAAAATATGCTAACTCTGCTCACATTCCACAAGGATGAGTCTTGTTTATCCCTAGGCACAGCTATACCTGCCAAAAAACTGCTAATTCGTTTTCCCTTTAGCGGACAGACTGAGTCAGGACTCAGGGGGGCTATTCTCACCTCTCAGGCAGCCCTTTCTGGCGCTCCCCTGACTTTGTACAGACTGAGAAGCACTGAACTTAGCCAAGCGAAAACCCTGAGCCCAAAAGCCCAAGCAGCCCCACAGCCTGTGCTTTCAAGCATCTCTGCCAGGGGCTGCTGCACAGGAGACAGGCGTGAGCAAGATCTTACCAGCAGACAGGACTTGCCCTTCAGGGAAGACCCCAGCCCTATTCTTTAGAAACTAGCAACTCACCTCTCCAACTCCAATCACTCTTGAGAGAAGAGGGAGCCACCAGCAGTTATACCACTCTCACAAAGTTTCTCTGCTTTACACCTTCAGTCTCTTCTCACTCACTGCCCAACCCAAAACTATATGAATCAAGTATTTTATGTTCTGTATTCTGATGCTTCAAAATCTGGGGTGACTACCCACCCCAGGGTTAACTGATTCCTACAGATTTATACACCATTCACCCAGAAGTGCACCTTTCAACTGCAAACCAGCCAATCTAATTTAATCCATATAATTTACCAATCCAATTTTTAGCTAACCAATCTGATTGGATGGAACCCACATCATCAATCATCTCCATTATCTGGTTCTCTCACTCTAGGCTACTAGCCACCTGCCCTCATCATCACAGGGTCAGGTATCAGCTAATGAGAGTCACTCCCGGAACCCACTGAAATTATTCAAACTAGCCAATCCTAAACCTGTTTATCCTGTCTCACCCATTCTTGCCTACAGAACTCCCTCTCCTTCTTATGCCTCCTGACCAAGCCCAGTACTTCCCTGAATGGCCTCCTATGGATCATGTATCCCTCCTCTTAGGATCTGTGAATATAACTACCTTTTCAATGGCAGTCGTCTCCTGATCTGTTGGCCTTGCCATACCTAAATAACAATAAGACCTATATTTTTTAAACAACGACCTCAGACTTCAGGTCCTACCTGTTTCTGGGACTACCCTCACCAGGTGACCTCCTGACTGCTAATTCTAATAGATATGATATAGTCTTGATTTGACATCCTGAGATATTTTCTCACTGAAACATGCCCATTTCGATGATGTGTCCCTCTACTGGCACTCCTTCTCATACTCCTTTGCTGCTATTCCTTAAATATCGTGCTCCTTAAGATCTTGTCTTAGGCTCTGTTTTCTTTTAAGCCTACAATGCTCCCTATTTGCCAACACCTGCCAGATATCTACCTTCCACTCAGACCTCACTCCTCAGCCCCAAACTGGACCTCTCCATATGTATGTCCCACAGGTACCTCAGCTCACCATGGCCAATACTAAATTCATTATCTTCCACCCCAAAGTTGCCTTGTCTCTTCTCATCCTTCAGAAAAGCCACACCAAAAATCTGGGAGTTCTTGCAATCCTCACCATAGAAAGTGCCTATATATTATGAATTCTCCAACATGGGTCTCCCTCACCTGTCCTATCTCCTCCATTTCCTCTGTTCTTTCCCTATTTCAAACCCTCAGCCCCCTCAACTGAACTCCTATGTTCCTAGTTGCTCTACACCCATTTCTGTGCACACTTCCAATCCTACACTGTTGCCCTGGTCTCCACTCATCTCTCCAAAATGCAAGTCTCATCACACTTCTTCCCTACTTTAGAGCCTTCCACGGTTCCCCACTGCTTACTGGATAAAATCTAAAATCTTCAGCCTTATAAATCCAGTCTCTTGTGTTCTGGCTTCTTCTCCCTCCCAAACCATATCTCAGGTACTACCCCTCTCCTCCTCCCACTCCAAGCTTGAGCCACATAGAACTTCAGAATATGCAGTTCCTCAGAAATACTTCCCTCCTTTATGCCTTTGCTTCTGAGACACCCTCCATTGAGAGTACCTTCCTTCTTCTTTCCAGAAAAACCACCACTGCTTTCTCCCAAACACTCTTGGAATACCCTCCTTTTTGCCTCATAGGCAGCACCTACAATATTTAGGTAACTCTTAATTAAAATGTCAAAATTTTAACATAATGAATATTAAAATCAGCAAGAGAAAAGCAACTAATTACATATAAAAGAAACCCCATAAAGTTATTGACTGATTTTTCAGCAGAAATTTTGCAGGCCAAAAGAGAGTGGCAAGATATATTTAAAGTGATGAGAGGAAGAAAACCCACAACCAAGAATGTTCTACCTGGAAAAGTTTTTATTCAGAATTGGAGGAGAGAGAGTTTCCCAGACAAAAAATTTAAAAGTTCATCCCACTAAACCACCCTTAAAAGAAACATTAAAGGGACTTCTTTAAGAGAAAAAAAAAAGATCATAACTAAAAGGAAAACAATTTTAAAAAAATAAAATATAAATAAAAGGAAAAAAATTTCACTGATAAAAGCAAGCATATAGTAAAGGTAGTAGATCAATCTCCTATAAAGCTAGTATAGAAGTTAAAAGACAAAAGTAGTAAAAATCAATCATATCTATAATAATTAAATAATACATAAAATGATGTTAAATATGATGGCATATACATTGATAAAGATAGTAAAAATGTAGTGCGTTGAGAATGTGTTTGAACTTAAGTGATATCAACTTAAAATAGACTTAAATACATAGGATATTATATGTGAACCTCATAGTAATCATAAACCAAAAATGTATAATGGATACACAAAAAATAAGAGAAAGAAATCCAAGCATAGCACTAAAGAAACTCATCAAATCAAAGGGAAGAGAGCAGGAGAGGGAAGTGGTACAAAGAATTACAAAAATAACAATTAACAAAATGGCAATAAGTACATACCTATCAAGAATTACTTTAAATATATGGGGATCCCTGGGTGGCTCAGCAGCTTGGTGCCTGCCTTCAGCCCAGAGCATGATCCTGGAGTCCCGGGATCAAGTCCCACACTGGGCTTCCTGCATAGAGCCTACTTCTCCTCTGTCTGTGTCTCTGCCTCTCTCTCTCTCTCTCTCTCTCTCTCTCTCTCTCTCTTTCTCGTCTCTCATGAATAAATAAAATCTTGAAAAAATAAATAATTACTTTAAATATAAATGGACTAAATGTTCTAATCAAAAGACATAAGGTGACTGGTTGGATTAAAAAATAAGACTAATCTATATGTTGTCCACAAGAGACTCACTTCAGACCTAAAGACACATGCAGACTGAAAGAGAAGAGATGAAAAAAGATATTCCATGCAAATGAAAGTGAAAAAAAGCTGGGGTAGCACTACTCATATCAGACAAAATCAACCTTGAAACAAAACCAACTGGGGTGCCCGGGTGCCTCAGTGGTTAAGTGTCTGCCTTTGGCTCAGGCTGTGATCTCGGGGACCTGGAATCAAGTCCTGCATTGGGTTTCCCACAGAGAGCCTGCTTCTTCCTGTGCTTAAATCTCTGCCTCTCTCTGTGTGTCTTTCACAAATAAATAAATAAAATCTTAAAAAAAAAGAACAGAAGTCAAAGAAAGGCATGACATTGTGATAAATGGATCAATCCAAGAAGATATAACAGTTGTAAATATTTATGCACTCAACATAGGAGCACCCAAATATACAAAGCAAATATTAACAGACATAAAAGGAGAAATTGACAATAATATAATAATAGTAGGAGACTTTATCACCTCACTTACATCACTGGATAGATCATCCAGACAGAAAACAATAAGGAAACAGTGACTTTGAATGACACATTAAACCAAACAAATTTAATAAAATATATACAAAATATACACAGAACATTCCATTTAAAAATAGCATAATACACATTCCATTCAAATGCACATGGGACATTTTTCATGACAGACCACAGGGTAGGCTGCAAAATAAGTGTCAATAAATTTAAGAATAAAAACATATCAAACATCTTTTCTAACCACAGTAGTATGAAAACAGAAGTCAGTTACAAGAAAAAAATTGCTAAAAACACAAACATGTGGAGACTAAACAACATGCTACTAACAACCAATGAGTCAATGAAGAAATCAAAGAGGAAATCAAAAAATACCTGGAGACAAATGAAAACAGAAACACAATAGTTCAAAATCTTTGGGACACAGCAAAAGCAGTTCAAAGAAGAAATTTTACAGTGATACGGGCCTACCTCAAGAAATAAGAAAAATCTCATAAATAATCTAATCTTACATCTAAAGGAACCAGAAAAGAAACAACAAAGTCTAAGATTTGTAGAACAAAGGGAATTATAAAGATCAGAGTGGAAATAAATGAAATACAGTTTAAAAAAACTGGAAAAGATCAATGAAACTAAGAGCTGGTTTTCTGAAAAGATAAACAAAATTGATTAACCTTTAATCCAACTGATAAAAAAAAGAGAACTCAAATAAACAAAATCAGAAATGAAAGACAAATTACAACGAATAACATAGAAATACAAAGGATTACAAGAAACTACTATGAAAGGCATCTGGATGGCTCAGTCAGCTAAGCAGCCAACCCTTGGTTTCAGCTCGGGTCATTATCTCACAGTCGTAAAATCAAGCCCCACAATGGGCTCTGGCTCCACACGAAGTCTACTTCAGATTCTCTTTCCCTCTCCCTCCAGCTCATGCTTGCTCTCTCTCTCTCTCTCAAATAAATAAATAAAATCTTTTTTTAAAAAAAAGAAAGAAAGAAACTACTATGAAAAGTTATACACCAACAAATTGGAAACTTAGAGGAAACAGATAAATACCTAGAAACATACAATCTTCCAAGATTAAATCAGGAAGAAAGAGAAATTCCAAATTTGTTCTTTGATCCCAGCATTACCTTAAACCAAAGACATTACAGAAGGGGGGGAGGGAGGGAGGGATGCATGGGTGGCTCAGTAGATTAAGCATCCAACTCTTGATTTCAGCTCAGGTCTTGATCTCAGCATTGTGAGTTCAAGTCCCATACTGGGCTCCATGCTGGGTGTGGAGCCTATATAAGAAAAAAAGAAAAAAGAACTGGTCCATATTCTGGATGAACACAGATACAAAATTCCTTAACAAAATATTAGCAAACTGCATTCAACAATACATTAAAAGGATGATTCCCCACAATGAAGTGAAATTCATTCCAGGGATGCAAGGATGGTTCAATAACCACAAATCAGTCAACATGATACTCCATATTAACAAAATGAAGGATAAAAATCATTTGGTCATCTCAATAGATACAGAAAAAGCATTTGAAAAAAATCAGCATCCATTCATGATAAAAACTCTCAACAAAATGGGTATAGGGGGAACAGACCTCAACATAATAAAGGCTACATATGACAAAGTCACAGCTAACATCAACTTAATATAAAAAGCTGAAAGTGTTTTCCCCAAGATCAAGAACAAGACAATGATGTCCACTTTCACCACTTGTATTCAACACAGTACTGGAAGTCCTACCCATAGCAATCAGATAGGAAAAAGAAATAAAACACATCCCAATTGATAAGGAAGAAATAAAACTGCCACTATTTGCAAATGACATGATATTATATATACAGAAAACCCTGAAGACACCATACACACACATACACACACACACACACAAAATCTGTTAGAACTAATAAATTCAGCAAAGTTTCTGGATACAAAACTAATATACAGAAATCTGCTGTTTTACACATCAATAATGAACTAGCACAAAGAGAAATTAAGAAAACAATCCCACTTATAATTGCATCACAAATAATAAAATACCTAGGACCGAATTTAACTGAGAAGGTAAAAGAATTGTACTCTGAAAACTATAGGATGTTGATGAAAAAAACTGAAGATGACTCTAATAAATAGAAAGATATACCATGTTCATGAACTGAAAGAATTGATATTGTTAAAATGTTCACATTACCCAAAGCAATCTACAGATTCAATGCAATCTGACCTAGGAATAGGTCAATGCTCCCTGTGGCAGCACATATACTAAAATTGAAACAATACAGAAATTAGCATGGCCCCTACACAAGGATGACACACAGTGCAATACCTATCAAAATACAAGTAGTATTTCTCAAAGAACAAGAATAAAAAAAATCCTAAAATTTGTTTAGAACCACAAAAGACCTTAAATAGCCAAAGCAATATTGAGAAAAAGAACAAAGCTGGAGATATCACAATCTCAGATTTCAGACTCTACTACAAACCTATAGAAACCAAAAACAGTATAGTATTGGCACAAAAAAATAGATACACAAATCAATGGAACAGAATAGACAGCACAGAAATAATCCCATACTTACTGTCAATTAATCTTTGACAAAGGAGGCAAGAACATACAATGGATAAAAGACAGTCTTCTGTAAGTGATGTTGGGAAAACTAGATAGCTACATGCAAAAGAACAAAACTGGACCATTTTTTCAAACCATATACAAAAATAAACTCAAAATGGATTATGGACCCAAATGTAAGACCTGAAGCCATAAAAATCCTAAAAGAAAACATAGGTAGTAACCTCTTATACATCAGTCCTAACAATATTTTTTTGAATCTGTTTCCTCAGGCAATGGCAATAAAAGAAAAAATAAACAATTGGGCCTACATCAAACTAAAAAGCTTTTGCACAGTTAAGAAAACCATCAACAAAATGAAAAGGTGACCTAGTGAATGGGGAAAGATATCAGCAAATGACATATCTGATAAGAAGTTAATATCCAAAATATAAAAAGAATTCATACAACTCATCTCCCAAAACAATCAATGTTACTAAAAAATGGACAACCTGAATAGACAGGTTCTTCATTTCTCAACAAAGACATGGCATGTCCAACAGACACATGAAAAAGATGTTCGGAGCAGCCCGTGTAGCTCAGCGGTTTAGCGTCACCTTCAGTCCAGGGCGCGATCCTGGAGACCTGGGATCGAGTCCCACGTCAGGCTCCTTGCATGGAGCCTGCTTCTCCCTCTGCCGGTGTGTGTGTGTGTGTGTGTCATGAAGAGAGAAAAGAAAAGAAAAGAAAAAGAAAAAGAAAAGAAAAAGAAAAGAAAAGAAAAAGAAAAGAAAAAGAAAAAGAAAAGAAAGAAAGAAAGAGAGAGAAGAAAGAAAGAAAGAGAGAAAGAAGAAAGAAAGAAAGAAAGAAGAAAGAAAAGAGAGAGAGAGAGAAAGAAAGAAAGAAAGTCTTTAAAAGAAAAGAAAAAGATGTTCATCATCACTAATCACAATGAAGTCACAATCACAATGTCACCGCACATCAGTCAGAATAGCTTGTATCAAAAAGACAAGAAATAACCAACATTGGCAAGCATATGCAGAAAAGGGAACCCTAGTACACTGTGGGAGGGAATATAAATTTGGTGCAGCCACTATGGAAAATAGTATAGTGGTTCCTTAATAAATTAAAAACAGAACTACTATATGATCCAGCCATTCCACTTCCGGGTATTTACCCAAAGTAAACAAAACACTAACTTGAAAAGATATATGTACCCCTATGTTTACTGTAGCTTTATAATAGCCAGAATATGGAAGCAACCTATGTGTTCATTGATAGATGGTTGGGTAAAGATGTAGCATATATATATACACAATGGACTATTAACCACAAAAAAAGAATGAAATATGGATGGTATTATGCTAAGTGAAATGTCAGACAGAGAAAGATAAACACCATATGATTTCATTTATATGTGGAATCTAAAAAACAAACAAAAAAAAACACAAACAGACATAAATACAGAGAACCAAGTAGTAATTGCCAGAGGAGAGGGGGATGAGGGAATGGGCAAAACAGGTAAAGGGAATTAAGAGGTACAGATTTCCAATTATAAAATAAGTAAGTCACAAGAATGAAAAGTACAGCATAGGGAAAATAGCCAACAATATTGTTATACCTTTGTATGGTGACAGAGGGTAACTATACTTACCATAGTGGGTGTTTCATAATTTATGTAACTGTTGCATCGCTATATTGTACACCTGAAACTATATTACACTGAATACTAACCGGAATTTAAATAAAACCTTTAAAAATATGTATGTAACCTACATGTCAAATCAAAATATAAATAAATAAATACATACATACATACGTACATACATACATATATACATACATACTGAGAAGTATCTTTGTGCTGGAACCTGGAGGCCCCAGAGATACAGCAATAAACAAGACAGACATGACCCTGACCTCAAGGCAGTGTCTATCATACCACCTTGCTTCCCCAGAAGTTGCCCTCTACCTCTCTAGCTCCACTCTCAACATAGTACATGAATAAAAAACCACCTGGGCAGGAGAGGGTCTATATGGCCCTCTTTTCATCTCCTATTCTGCCCCTAGGGTAATCTTTCTAAAGAATGCATCTATTGGAGATCCCTGGGTGGCTCAGCAGTTTAGCGCCTGCCTTCAACCTAGGGCATGATCCTGGAGTCCCAGGATGGGTCTGCATCGGGCTTCCTGCATGGAGCCTGCTTCTCCCTCTCCCTGTGTCTCTGCCTCTCTCTGTGTGTGTCTCTCATGAATAAATAAATAAAATCTTTAAAAAAAAAAAAAAAGAATGCATCTATCTGGCCATTCACATCCTTCCTGTAGATCACTGATGACTCCTCATCACCCACATCCAAACAGACAAGGGCTTTCTTGGCTAGCTCTTCCCCATTTTTCCACTGTCCCCTCTCAAAATTCACCACCTCAGACAACCCCAAACTGCCTGCATTTTCCCACACTCACTTTGCTTTGCTTTGTGTCTGTGTTCATACCATCTCCTTTGTTAATGCCTTTGCTTCTCTTCATCTGGTTTGCTATCTATTGCTCTATATCAAACCACTCAGACTAGTAATTCTGTGAATCAGCAGTTTGGTTAGGGATCAGCTGGAATAGTGCACAGATAGATGTGCTCCAAACTGAGTTCGCTGGGCTCACCCAAGCACTGTGAGCAGCTGACAGGTACACTGGGCCTGGATGCTCCAAGAGGGGCCCGCATAGTGTCTAGCCAATGGGTGAGGTTGCCAGCTGGAACATCTAGTTCTGGTCTCTCCCCATGGCTAGCCTGGACACCTCACATGGCAACTGGGTTCCAAGAAGCAAGCATTAGTGGGCAAGCACTTATGAAGTCTCTGCCTGTGGCAGATTTACCGGGTCCCATTGACAAAAGCATGTTATACAGCTGAGCCCAGAATCAATGTGGAAGAGGTGTGACTCTGGGTGGGGAGGGGGATTAACATAGCGATCTACCAGTCTGCCCTCTACCCCTACCAATGCACAGCCTTCCACATGTGAAATATATCCATCCTTCCCAAAACATCCAAAATAGTAACTATCCAATCATACACCAGGCCCAAAGTCCATGATCTCACAAGGTGCAGCAAGCTGTCCTGGGGTACAACTCCTCAGGTGTAGCTCCTTTTGATCCAAAAACCTGTGAACTAACAAGACACAATGTCTGCCTTCCACATGTGCCCAGCATACAGTTGTGAAGCAGGCACAGGAGATATGCAATAGATACTCACATTAAAAGGGAGAGAATAAGAGGTACGGGGAGATCACTGATTCAAAGCAATTCTGAAACCCAGCCAGGTTCTGTTACCAGGACCCCTCCTTGTTCACAGGGAGGCAGGGATGTTACATGAATAGTGTCGGGTTCTCCTTGGCTTCTTCTTCTTCTTTTTTTTTTTTTTTAAGATTTTATTTATTTATTTATTCATGAGAGACAGAGAGAGAGAGAGGCAGAGACACAGGCAGAGGGAGAAGCAGGCTCCATGCAGGGAGCCCGATGTGGGACTCCATCCCAGGCCTCCAGGATCAAGCCCTAGGCTGAAGGTGGTGCTAAACGGATGAGCCACCCGGGGTTGCCCCTCTCCTTGGCTTCTAGTTACACCTGCTGGGCTCCTGGTTCTGCACTCTGAGAGGATTTTCTTTTCCATAAGAGAAGGCCCTTGTGAATAATGGCCAGCTTACTGCCCATGGTAAATTGGGGGCCCAGAGGCCTCTTTTCACTTTTTAACTATTTCAGTTTCTTTCAGTCCAAACTAAAAGTCTTTTCCAAAACAATACTCTTCAAGACTTCATAGTTTTTCTACGAGTATTACTGGATTCAATTCTTGCTCCAAAAGCCACGTACATAGTTAATTTCAAGAAGACTCTACTTCAAGGATGCCTGGGTGGCTCAGCAGTTGAGCATCTGCCTTTGGCCTAGAGCGTGATCCTGGAGTCCCAGGATCAAGTCCCACATCAGGTTCCGTGCATGGAGCCTGCTTCTCCCTCCGCCTATGTCTCTGCCTCTCTCTCTCTCTCTCTCTCTCTGTGTGTGTGTGTGTGTGTGTCTCATGAATAAATAAAATCTTGAAGGAGAAGGAGAAGAAGAAAAAGAAAAAGAAGAAGGAAGAAGACTCCACTTCAGCTATAAAACAACAGCTTTAATAGTCTTAGAAACCCTTTTGTTTAACTAAGAAGGTCTACTGGGCACCACCTTAAATCTTCTTGGGGATCTTAACAAAGGTTCTACAATCATACCCTTGATTTCATCTTTACCTTTAGGCCAGTTCTTACTTGGGGAATCTGCTACCTGCTGGAAAGACCAGAAATGAGAACTAGATTTCTTTTCCAACCCAGCAAACTGGACAGAGATCCTTATTTAGCCCATCTCTCCCTTGTAACACCTGACATGCCAGCTGGAAGCACCCAGATGGCACTTTTAACATCCCATCTCCACATCTCTCAAGCCAAACCCACAAATTCATTAGGCACTCCTTCTGCCAGTGGCATCAGAACTACATAACACTGGTTACCCTTAATCCAAGCAGTTTCTAGCTCCCTTTCCAGGCACTTACAACTCTTGCTGCTTGTCTTTCAAGCCTTCACCCACCATCCTGTTCCGAACACCACATGTTTGGGTTTTTAAGACAGCACCACACTTCTAGATACCAATTTATGTATCAGATATCTATTGTTACAGAGCAAACCACCTAAAACAATAGCTTAAAGCAACCACCATTTTGTTACACTCCTGAATTCTGTGGATAGATCAGTCCCTGTCCCACAACATCTGGGGCATAGATTGAAAAT